GCTATGGTCATTTTACTAGATGATACCTCGGTTGGGAAATTAGCGAACTCACCTACCTACTCGGCGATCCGCCGAATGGGTTGGCAAATCTCCGAATGAGCTCGCCTAACTATCCCGAAAACCTTAAGACTCTGTCTATTAGGGTGATCTATCCCATTGGGTGATCCAACGACCATTTTTGGTGAGTAGACCTCTAAATCACCGATTTGGCCAACATGATTCATTAAACGGAGAAGGGCCTAAAATACGCCTCAAGTATTTGAATTGGTACAAAACTACCCTCCATCCACCTATCGGCCCTAAAATACCCTGACGTCGACCTTTCGGCTCAAAAATACCCTTGATGTTAATCCTTTGACTCATATTTACCCTTATTTTTAATAGCTCTCTTAAAGAAAAATTATTAAATATTTATTTATTATATATCTTAATGTGATCGGCCCAAATTTAAACCCTTATCAAATAAATAATAAAAATGATATTTTTACAAATTCTAATTTTCTATAAAAATCACTTATGATTTATATTTTGACCCGATGCACTTGAAAATAATATTGAAAAAAGAATTAATTTCATTATTTCTTCCTATTGGCCTATTTTAAATCGACCCCGATTTATTATAACGTAACCCAACTCATAAATGAGAATCCAACTAAAATCCATACTTACCCCGACTTATTGTCCATCTAAAAAAATTATTATTTTCATTGATATAAAATTCACTCAATTATCAAAATGTCTTGTTCATTTTCTCTTTTATTCCTTTTTGTAATATCTTATTCTTAATTAGGATATTCGGGACTCAAACTTGAAATGAACTCACATATTTATATTCTTTTAATTAGTATTATTGGCATGATGGGATGAGGGTGTGATTAGAGAAATGATTATTTTTATTATTTTATTTTTAATTTTGGGTACACACAAAAGAAAAATGTAATATTTGTACATATTTGCTTAATTGTGTCATCTTTTATTGAACTAATTATTTCTATATGAATGCATCGTTATTTTCCTCCTTTTTTTCTCTCTTGTTTGTCATAAATAAGAAAATAATTAAAATGGTGGACAAGATCCAAATAGAAAAAAAATGGAAGAAATAGGAAGTGAAGGGCCGGAGAGGGAGGAGTAGAGAGTAGACACCTAACCTTTTTATAATTTTAAATTTACTATGAAATTCAAAATCAAGTCAATCATGTGAGCTTATATATTAAGTAATTTTCAAATTATTTAACGGAAGAGGGCCTAAAATGCCCTTAAACTATGAGATTTGGTACAATATTACCCTCCATCCACCTAATGGTTATGATCTGTTAGACATAAGGGCATTTTTGAGCCGAAAGGTGGACGTCAGGGGTATTTTAGAGCCAATGGGTGGATGGAGGATAATTTTGTACCAATTCAAATACTTGAGGGACATTTTAGGCCCTTCTCCGTTTATTTTAATATTAAAATGCATATATACCAACATTCCCCCACTCATTTCAATATTAAAATAAGAGAGTTCTTCATATGAATTTAGTTGAAGGTAAATTTTATGCATAATGAAGGTGTGCTCTGCTTTGAACTTTCACTTAGTAAAACATTAACATTTACTCCAGAGTCGGTAGTGGTCTCAGACTTGATCTATGACTGCTTAATGGAAATAAAGTATCACTGCTTACACACAATAATCAAGGTGTTGACATAAGATTTTTTAGCCAGCATATTATGGCCTTGTGTTATCCCGATTTTCATGAGTGTTTTTTAGAACAAGCTCATTCTCATAGAAAGCGGCCTACTTTTACACTCACTTTGGTGATATCTGTCAAGAGTGCTCCTATAATTTGACACCCTACTCATACGAGATGCAAAATTTCATTAAGAGTTCAAAGACTCAACCTCACAAATCATTATAGGATAAATGCACTCACATCATATGGATTGAATAAAATTAAAAGTAGTGCATTTTACAATAAGTCATCATATGATTTGTTCTTTCATTTGAACCTGGTTATAGGATCTCTAGTCCACAGGTTGGGTTTCCTAATATCTGACTCAGAATTTATCAACTTCAATTTCATCCTTCTTGATGTTTTTCAAACTCTTTATCTTGCTAAGACCTTAGTTTCTGAATCTGCAAGATTATCACAAGTTTTCACACAATTAATATTGATGGTATACCATTAGAGTTAGGAAGCAATATGATTTGCTTTTCTCACTTCCATCAAATAGCACCAAGTTTTCTCATCTACACCAACAAAACTTTAAGTATAGCATAATATCTCATAAAATTACAAGCCACCAAATTTTGTACCAAGTAAATTTACCTGATTTGCTTGTATATGTTATACTTTATACACAATATCATATAAAGTGCAATTAGTCACATATTTTTTTATTAGGCTGGAGAATTTCTTCTCTCTTGGTCACACTATTCTCACACTTGAATCAAAAGGAGTTGCAAGACTCACACAACCAATAAGATTGTATTTCACAATTTTTTTAACATTATGTGACTTGACACGGAAAATTTCATCACATGTTTTATGATATTTTTCATTTCAAAAATTTTATTCTCACCCAAAACATTTCATGTTAAATCGCTACTTGACATGTTTCTCATATTTTATTTATCACTCTCATGTTAGAGCCAAAAATCATCTCATTATAGTCAAACAACAACATGTGATTTATTCCACAATAAATATATGCACTTTTTATATCCTTTGTAGAGCATTTTTGAAAGATGCAAAAATCATATTTTTCACAATGATTTTTTCCTCATTTCATGAACCCCCACTCTTTTAAGAATTTAAATAACATTTTTCCATGAAAAGTAGTATCACTTTATTCATGAAAATATTAGGTAAATTTTTTTTTCTTTACCTTTTCTCCGCTTGAATTGAGCAAGTAGAAAAATACTTTGCCCGCACATCTCTTCTCTTTCATCTCTTCTCTTCTCTTGAAGAGAGAAACGTTGAACGGGATGACATTGAGATTTCTTATCTTGATATCTGCACTTTTTCAAACTGTAACAAAAACATAAATCTCCTTAAAATTGTTCGTGTAATATACCACAAATACAATTTTACAGTTGAAAATAAATTGATAAAAATGAATAAAAATATTTAGGCTGAGGCGCGGATATCTCACTCTCTTTAAGGAGATTTAAGTCCAGTGCGACATAATCTACACCGATCCAACAGTAATACTCTTGACTTGTCCCCTCCAGGATACAACAGCCCAACAATGTTGTACAACTCAAGCAACTCTGAATTTAGTTGAAGAGTTCAAAACTCCACAAAAGAATACCTTCCTTCAATATATAAATACTCTTTTTTGTGTATAGTGAATATAGTTGAAGACTTAGAATATTTTATTTGTCTCAACTCTCTCTTTCACTATTACCCACTACAATATTTTTCACACTTAACATTTTTCTTACTTCACTTCACAAAGGAAGAAACACCATTATTTATAGGTGAAGAAGTCTTCCATATAATCAATGTGTAAAATGAGGGGTAATTATGTGAGTAGATAAATGTGATAAATATTACATAAGTTAGAAGAAACGAAAGGTCATATGAGTTACAAGAAACTAATGACCATCAGAGTTACAAGAACTAATGGGCATATAAGTTACAAGAACGATAGTCATCTTCTACCACAATTTTATACTCACTAACATATAAATTTAATATTTTATTTTAATATTAAAATACATATACTTCAACATATTTGAATTATTTTCATGTTGTTTAAGATTTTAGATTTCATTATTTATATGGTTTTTATATCTAGACCTTTCTTCTGACTATTGGAGATGTATTGAGATGAATTATTGGGTTCTTGGTTCGCTCAATTAAAATAATTATGGTGTGTCATCACGATTTAGATAATTGGGTCCGTAACATAATTGATTGTGTAAATTACATTCCTTCGTTTAGTTTTATTTGTCACTTATTCTTAAAATAAATTTTCATTTTTACTTGTCATTTTTGACATATCAAAAAAAGACAATAATTTTTTTTCATGTTTTACCCTCAATATTAAATATTATTTTCCAAATCATTTTTCAAGACATCTTTTAATATGAGATAGTTTAGTAAAATGCTTATATCATTAATTTTTTTCTTAATAGATGTGCATAGTCAAATTGTGACAAGTAAAAGTGAACGGAAGAAGTGTTTTTTTTTTTCACCTAGTGTTTGATATTCATATTAGAGGATAAAATATCCTTAATAAAGGTAATTCAGTATCTAGAAGACTTGAATCCAAAACCTCTAATTATAAAATGAAAGAATACTCTA